AGTCCGTGCCTCCCAGGCACGGTGTCCATGGCTGCTGCCTCTGCCGTGGCCCTGTGGCTGCCCGAGGATGCCTTTCCAAGGCAAACCTCGCGGCGATCCCGCTGCAGAGGTCCTGCGTGCCACAGGCATGAGGAGGAGATATGTTTAACCTCTGCTTCTTGTATCATTATCTGGGTCCGTAGGACAAAAATATCTCCGGGCAGTGAGGGTGGCACTGTGCATCACAGCGCTCTTGAGGGATTGATTTTCACTCCCGTTTCACTCACTGTGCGCTGAAAAACATTTAAGATTTATATTAGAGATTTCGGTCTATGTCACGTTAAGATGACCAGGTTTTCGGTTTAGTGGTTTAGATTCTGGTAGTTTGAAAAGTTCTAAAAGCTTATAAATTAAGAATTTCTAAAATTTCTAAAAGTTTCCAGGGAAACTTTTTAGCAGAGCACCAAAGGCAGTGAATTCACAAACTTATAAAATGGTCATAAAAAAAAAATCCTCAGCATACCATTCTGCCACTGCTTCTTAGTACTAGGCAACACCTCTGGCTGTAATATTTTCATATATATATATGAAATAGGATAATAGAATCACAGAATGGTTTGGTTTGGAAGGGACCTTAAAGATCATCTTGTGCCGTGGGCAGGGATAACTTCCACTACATGAGGTAGCTCAGGGCCCCAACCAAAATAGTCTTAAAAATATATGATGAAAGGAGCTGTAAAGTGACAATTTCCTTTCCTGTTTCTTTACTAAAATACATTGCCAAAATCACTCCAATACAGGCATGAGCAAGGTCTCCATGTGCAATAATAATAGTAATTAAAAATCTATTTCCACGCTGTTAGAAAAATCTGGATTCCTTAGGGAAAATGGAATAGACTCAGGATGTTTATTGGTCTTCTCAAGGACATGCACCATGAATGTCACCGCATTTGGCAACACTAAAAATATTTCGGTGAGGTGCTTTCCCCATGTTCTTCCACTTCTCGTGGTAGAGATCAACATGTCAAAGGGTAAATGTGGGGCTGCAGATATTTTGTTTCTTGATGGACGTGCCTCAAATTGTGATGTGGCACAGGGTGGGACGCTACTTTCTTGGGAGAGCTGTGCCACACTAGGAACTTCTCCCTGGCAGGGAAGTGCAGACCCTGAAAGCAGAGGTGAGAGTATCAGAGAGAGAAATTATGCAGAAGAAAGCGTCAGGATGGTGTGGGTAACCCTGCCAGCCGAAATGCTGGTACCCAGGACCTGCCCGGGTACGGCCCAAGCCTTGTCTCTGCGGCTGTGCTGGGTGTGACGCTCACCCCGTGACACCACGGAGTGGCAGCACTTGCAAACTGCAAGCAAATTCTCTGTTTCTTTTTCTTTTTCTTTTTTTTTTCTTTTACTAACCGCCAGGCTAGCTGCAGCTGTCTCTCATGAGAGGGTGTGAGAGGGTGTATGGCACGTCCTGTGCAGGGCCAGGAGCTGAACACCACACCACTCCAAGCACGGAGCCATATGATTTATTATCCGTTTAACCAGTCCTGGTGTATTGGCACAGCTTTTCCACACACTTGGGTTATGATGGGTTCAGACTGAACAAGTGGAAATTTAGGTTAGATACAATTTAGGAAGAAGCTTTTCCCTGTGAAGATGGTGAGGCCCTGGCACAGGTTGCCCAGACAAGCTGTGGCTGCCCCATCCCTGGAAGTGTCCAAGGCCAGGTTGGGTGGGGCTCTGAGCAACCTGGGCTAGTGGAAGGTGTCCCTGCCCATGGTAGGGGGGTGGAACGAGATAAGTTTTAAGGTTCCTTCCCACTGAAACCATTCTATTGGTTCCATGATTAAATAGCGCAGAGGCAAAATAGGGCAAACCTCTCAGGGTCATATGGACAAGTATCATGCATGCAATGGGTGTTTCCTGGTTTAGAATATATGTTGCTGCTTAAGGACTTGTTACTTAGGCAAATTTTAAATAAGAATAGTGTCTGTGCAAGGGCAGTTGTGTGGTTGAAGTATTTTATGTACCAATCTGGAGGCACCTTTGCCTACTGTGATTGTAATCCCTCCGGAGGATTTCTGTCTCTCTTAAACATTTTCTTCATGGTTTTGACACAGTCATAATTAGAAATAACCCTGTGTCTTTGCCGTAGTAGAAAGTCACCTTTTCTATACAATTAAAAAAAAATACCAGATTTTGAGGTCAAAACCCCCCTGCAATAATAAATATCTCCCTTTCTTCACAATGTTCAAAACTGAGGTTCACTTTCAACCCTCTGCAGCCTTTATCCCTAGCAAGGCATATTGTCCTCCATACCTTGCTGGGCAACTAAATGGTGAAATTCAGTGCAAACAGGATTTTTTTTTTAAATCCACAGATTTGCTTGTACTTCTTCCCTCGTGAAGTTAATATATCCCAATTAATTAGATGCTTCGCTGCAACCTTCTCTATGAGAGGAGCTGCCTCTGCCCCTGGGCTTGAGTAACTACGGGGCCAGAGGTGCAGCTGCCCTAAAACTGCCGCGGCACAGGGAAAACATGAACTGTACGTGGACATTGTGGAGATGCAGACGTGGTATTTCGGACAGTGAAACCAGCAGTGGGAAAGGAAACCGCGGCATTACTAATGGTGCATTAATTGTTGGGGCCGAATGTGCCTTACCCGCTGCAGGCGCACCGCAGCCGCTGCGGCACAAGGGAAAAACGCGGATATCGCCAAGGTGCGGACTTTGGACAGCGGAGAGTGCGAAAAGAAAATCGCGGCCGTTCCTAATGGTGCCCCCGTGAATCGTCTCCAGCCCCGGCGGGTGTGCGGTCAGGGTTCCCGAGGCCGTCAGGGGGTACCCGCTCTAGGTTCGGGGGGTGCTGGCCCGGGGGGTGCCGGCCCGGGTGACCCCCTCTCGGCCCGGCCCCGCAGCACATCCCGGCTCCCCGTCCCGCCTCCCGGAGGCGCCGCCCCGGCCCCGCCCGGCCCGGCACAGCCCGCAGGCCGCCCAGGGCCGGAGGCCGCAGCCCGCGGGCCGGGCGGGGCCGGGGCCGCCATGGCCGGTGAGTGCGGGCCGGTCCGGGCCGGGCCGGGAGGGACGGGCGGGACGGAGCCCCCGGGGCCGCGGGGCGGGGGGTTCGGGGCCTCCCCGCGGGGTTTGGCTGCGGGGCCGCGGGTCGGGGCCATGGCTCGCTGGGGCTGGGGCGGTGACAGCGCGGGCAGGGCAGGATAGGGCAGGGCAGGGTGCGGGGCCCCAGCCCGGCGTGCCCGGGCGCTGCCGGGTCCCTCTCCGGGCACCCCCATCCCCCGTCCGGCCGCTGCGCTGGCTCGGGGGCCCTGCTGCTTCGGAGCTGGGGAGGCCCGCGGGCTGCGTGTAACCTGGTGTCACACTCGGGGGGTACGGGCCTTTCAGTGTTCTGCTCGCTGTCGCTGCTTTTTCTCTTCTGTTTTTAAGAGATGCTTCGGGTAGAAATGAGTTGCTGAAGTCTGCAACTTCCTGGCTGCAGCCAGGTGGGGGTCGGGCTCTTCTCGCAGGCAACAGGTGACAGGATGAGAGGAAACGGCCTCAAGTTGCACCACGGGAGGTTTAGGTTGGATATTGGGAAGATTTCTTCACTGAAAGGGTTGTCGAGGCCTGGCACAGCCTGCCCAGGGCAGTGGTGGAATCACCATCCCTGGAAGCATTCAAATATTTGGACATAGCACTTGAGGACATGGTTTGGTGATGACCATGGTAGGTCTGGGTCGATGTCTGGACTCAACAGTCAAGCTTATTTTCCATCCTGAATGATTCTGTGACTCGCTGTCAGAGTGACAGAAATGATTCTGTGTCTTGCTGTCAGAGACTCTTGACTTCTGGTGACTTGCCAGTAGCAAGTGGCAGGGAGTGACTGTGGCTGAGGAGGGTGGCATCTTGTCTTTCACCTCTGTATTGCCCTTCCAGCCCAGAAGAGCAGAGCAGTTGCTCTTTGTTGGGAGTGCGTTCAGCAGCCAGTGCCATCTGATCATCTCAGAACATTTCTCTGCAGCCAGAGATGCCTTCTGAAATCCTCAGCATCCCTTTCTTGGGCTCTTGAAAGGGAAGAGCCAGAACTAAATTAGTGTTAAGCTAACAGTTTGTTGAGACAGAGACTTTTTCGTCTCTTTCCTGAAATGCTTCAGCAAGGAGTTTGCAGGGACACATACAGATGGTTTGATCATCAGATCCAAACTTTCGAGGTGTTGGTTGCCAGCCTTCCTGTCTAAAGTTTATGAAAATCATCCAGGAGTTTTACAGGAAGGGGCAGCTCGTGTTTGCACTGCACAGCAGACACCAGTGAGGTTTCTGGAACAGATGTTTGCGAGGTCTGTGTGTTGTTATGGAGAATGTCAGAGAGTTGTATTGGGTTTTGTGTCTCATGTGTTTAAATTTATTTTCCTGATGATCTTGTCTGTTTGGTGAACTGAAGGAGGCCTTTAAGGGGAAAGCAAACCGAAGATGAAACCATGCTGAAGATACAGTGGTGTCAGAGGCAGTCTCAAGAGTCCTTATGTAAATGTTGGTGGAGTTGCTAATTGGGGGTGTGTGCCTGATGAGGCAGTTGGCAGCATTTACACTCCCAGGCCTGGATGAGAGGAGTTACCTGTTCCAGTGTGGCAAGGAGGGGCTGATCTCAGCCTCTGAATTTGAATGCAGCTGGATTTATTAATTTACTGTGATAAATACAAATGGCAGTGCAGACTCAGCCTAAAGTGGCAGATCCATCGGGCCTTGTGTCTTTATCCAGAAGGGCAGTGGAAGTAGATGGTGCAGCAGCATCTGCTCCTGCAAGAGACAAAGTCCCACTTGATCTTCCTGGTACAGAAAGCAACATGGGGTCTTTTATGGTAAGAGTAGTTAGGCAGAAACAAAGTTACAAAGGGGTTTTTGACAACCAAGATAACCTGAAAGTCCTGGTTTGTGCAGTGCCAGTGGCTAGTGACAGCTTTCAGGGGCCAAACACCTCTGCACAGGCTGAGCTGGAGTGCAAAGGCTCGTCCAACATCCTGGTTGCTGCCCATGCCGAGGTTAGGAATTGTGTCTGACAAACTCCCTGTGAACACTGCTATTAAATCAGGAAGAACTTCAGCAAGGGTGTCCCTGTCACCCCTGCCATTTTTCCTGACAGGGCTGTAGCAGACAGCCTGGCACGCTGTGGTCACATCTGATCAGGGTTTTTATGAGCTCTGTTAATTCCAGGAGCAGAATATGTTTCAGCAGCCTTACAATGCCAGCAGTTTGTGTAGTGGCTGGGTCGTTCTGAAGCTATTGACAGAAACCTAATTGCCCATTTGGAAGGAAGGATCAAGAGATGCCATTTTATGAAGGGTTTCACTGGGGGTGACTTGTACTTGCAGGTGGAAAATGGTGAGTATGCTGCTTTGTTACTGTCATGTGTTGCTGGTGCATTTATCATCACTAAATCAGTGATGATATTTTATAATCTATTTGGTAAATTATAAATTTAATAGATGTTATAATTATGTTATAATCTATTTTATCCTCTGAGGAGCTGCTGGCTGCTTTCCTCTGGTATCTCTTAATTTTATGTGTCCCTCCTTTCCTTCCATGTGTTGGTCAGGTGCAGGATGTGTGTGCTGGTGTGGGTGCCTGTGCTGTGTGCTAGAGGCTGCTTGGACTTAGTGTTAACAGAAAAAAGTGGTTGTGTGTGGTGTGTCACGGGCTTTTAGTAATTATAAATCAATAACATGTTTTCCTCCCAACTACCAAAGACAGTTCCTGAGTTTCCTGTTTGCCTCTTTGACAAGTTTACATTTTCTGTGAGTAAGGAAAACACCAACTTTTTAAAAGCAGGTCAGGTTCAGTGTCATGATATCCAATCTGAGCTGTATTTGCTCTTCAGCAGGGCTGACTCAGTGCCAGCCCTGCACAGCACTTGCACACTTGAGCAAACCTGCTCCTGACTCCAAAGACTGTGGGACAGGATTAAGCCCAGTTAGATCAATGTTCTGGCAGAGGGAAAGGTGAAACTGTAGTGTGTTCTACTTCAAATGTGAAGTTATATTCAATCCTTGTGCAGTCTGGGGCCATTGAAATGCCTGGCAGTGGCACACCTGTGCACTAAACTGTGGTAAACTCACCTGGTCTCCCGGTTTTGCTGCCCTGAAATTTCTAGGCAAGTACTGACTAACAGTGTTACTGTCCCTTTAATGCTGGGGTGAGTCCTGTTTAAAAACAGTCTCCTTAGCATAAAGATTTGTAATTGTCCTTGCAATAGCTGTTGTCTCTTTGAGGCAGCGAGATAAAAGCTGGATATGCAAAACATCCCAAACAACCCCTCCCTAAATTCTTAAGACCTGGCCTCACATCAGTAGCTTTGCTGCAGTCGTGAAGTCACCTGGTTTGGGGTTCCTGTTACTTAAAAAATGTTCATAATTAAGGTGTGTTCTATTCAAAAGCTGTGTGTGTGTGAGCAGTGATCACAGAACCTCCCAGCACAGCCGTACCTGGGCCGTGACTGGAGTGCAGGGGAACGGTGACAAAGCTGCCAGAGCTCCTGGGGTAAACTGGGCCCAGAAGCCTTCAAATGCACACGTGTGCTGTGCAGATACCCTTATCACTCCACAGCAGGGTGCCATATTCCAGCTGCTAGGATTGGTGGGGCTTTTTTTGTTTGTTTTCTTTAAATTTAGTAGCTGGGGCTACAGTTCTGCACTGGTGAGCGGTGTCAGTGTGGGAAGTTTCCCTTCTCTGGTCTGAAGGCAGTTCTTTGGGAGAGAGATTTCTCAGAGAAAAGATTTTAGAAGAGAGAGGGGAGATACTGGAAGGATGAGATACATTTGCTCTGCTTTCATTGAGCTGGTGTTGAGCTTGGTAAGTGCTCTTCAGGAAACGTTAAGCCTTGCACCTCATCCTAAATACTGAACTCACACGCTTTGGAGGAGGTGCAGGTGCAGGCAGGGGAAATGTCTGTAGGAGATGTTTCCTGGGGGCTTCTTAAACACAGAGCATCCCATAGGATGGGTGAAGCATCTTGCAGGTGCCTAAGCCAGACATTAAACATGTCCTTGGCAGGCACAGCTTAGCAGTAGCCAGAGAGGCCAAAACCATGGTCCCATTCTCTGCCCCTGTCTTTTGGCTCAGATTGTGAGAAAATGTAGCTGCCCCTGAAATCTTGGAGAGGCCTCTGCCCTGTAATTTGGTGCCCTGGGTGGGGAGTTTCAGAAAAAGACCCTGGTAAGACTCATAAATTGTCATGTAAGGTGATGGTTTACTGGGTGTGTGTAGATGGAAACTACCAGGAGGACAGGGAGTGCTTGGGACTGCTCAGAAAGTGCTCTTGGCTTAAGTGGGATCTTCGGCTGGTCCGAGTTCCCTTCACTGCGTCTGGACACTGTAATGATGGGGCAGCAACAGAGAGGAGGTGGCACTGTGAGCCTGCTTTTATTTCACTTTGTATACTCGTTCTTTTGGACGTTTAGCCCTTGCTGTGGTTGGTTGGTTGTCACAGCAATGTTTGAAGTTTAATTGCTGGGCTGTAAGACCCTGGTTTTAATGCGTGTCCTGTCCAAGTGCAGGTGCAGAGTTGTTGGTGATGCTGAGAATCACTACAAATCCTGTTGCTGAGGCAGAGGAGGGGGAGGATGCTTCGGGCAGCTTCATTACCCAAAAAGCATTTGCATGAGCAGACAAACTTTACAGCCTCCTGATCTTTGCCTCAGCCCTTTGTGCATGCCACTGTGTGTTGATTTGAAGACAAGGTTGATCTCAGCCCTGAATCCAGGAGAACCTGGAACTTCTCGCAGCAAGAGGGAAGTTTGTCAGCGCAGCAACTATTTCATGGCAGTGTGTTTGTGACAGTGCACTACAGCTGCCTCGGAGCAAGCTGTGGAAAAGGGAGGCATCAGAAAGACGTGGAAATAAAATGGTGTTTGCATAAAAAGTAAGAATGTAGCTGGAATCCTGTTGTGCTCGTAGGATCACAACTCTGTGCCACATCAGTAGCGGGGTGTTCTGGTTTGAATAGGAGTGGCACTGGCACTGCAGAAGTAAGGGATGGTCACACGGGGAGGTTTTCCTGAACCCCTTCTTGTAAATGCTGTCAGCGCTACACAGATACACAAAAAGGACAGTGTGGTACCCAAACCAGTCACACTACAGGAAGGGCAAGGGCTGTGCGTAGGTGCAAAGTTTGATGGCTCTTTTCTTTCACTCCTTTGTTTATCTTCTCTAAATTGCAGGGCACAAGGGGCTGATGGTTTTGTATTTTCTGGTAGCCTGAATACCATAAAACCTATGCATTTTGCTTTAAATGGAGAAAGGGCTGGCGGCGTGGGGGGTGTTCTGTGTTTGTTTTCTGTGGTGCTCAGTTGTAAAGTGTTGTACTGGCATTTTAACACTCATTTCAGACACGGTCATGGATGTTCTCTTTTTAAATCTGATAAGGGCACAGTAACCTGTGGAACCAGTCTGTGCTTGTATCTTAATCTAGGGATTACAGACCAAGCAGCTATAGGGAAAGCTATGCTCCTGCAAAATCCATTGCTGACAAATTGGGTATGGTGCCTAAACCAACAGCGAGTCTGGATCTGTGTATTTGCAGAGGTTTGGGTTAGTAGAAAAAAATGTGTTTTATTTGTGTGTGTGTGTTTGAGTGTACTTCCCTGTAAAAATATACTGCTTTTTGAATGCCCTTTCTCGCCTTTCTGTGTGAAATCCTTTCCTAAAAGCCTCGATGGCTCCTTGGCAGAGATGCTGTTATAAAACACATCAGTTTTAAATGTCATAATCTGCCTTCCTACATGATGGAAAACTTATCTTCAGTGATTTATTAACTTCAGGGCTGTATTTGATTAAATATCCATAAGTGCTTGACTTCTGAATGATTTAGAACCTTCTCCCTTTGGAAAGAGAGAGGCAGCAGGACTGACCAGCCAGGAGTTGGGATGTGTGTCATGTCAAGTGGATGGGTCTTTGGAAGCAGGTGGCTGTGTTGTGTTTCCCTAACAGATAGTTCAGCTTTCTAAAATTAGGTGGTGGTGGTAATTTTATTTTAAGCTATTTAATCACTGGTAGGAAAATGAAATTTGCAGAATTTAAAACCGGCTTGTTAATTAACTGCTGTGGTTTGTTCTGTGTGTTGTTTTTTCTCTAGATCAGTCATATTCTCATCGGCTGCAGCACGACATGTATTTCCTTACAAGCACCAGCCGGCTGAATGAGCAAGTGGTTGATAAAATTATTCTTCAGCTTAACAGAGTCTATCCCCAAATTCTTACCAATGAAGAAGCAGAAAAGGTAATTGGATGAGTTCTGCGGTGTCTCTGACTGTTGTGTTGTTCTTGTGGGTCACTGGCCCAGCTCTTCCCCACAGGCAGCCAGTCCTCCTCACCTCCTGCTTGCTGACCAGTGGTATCTGGGATCTCATGTGAGAGGAGCAGTCACAGGGCTGGCACATTCCCTGGGCCAAGTGGTTATGAGAGAGGACACTCTCCCAGCAGCAGCTGAGTGCCAGGGTCCCTGCCATGCCCAGGAGCACGCACCCTCACAGGCAGGAGTTCACAGTCCTGTGACCAAGTGCCCCACGTGCCTCCTCCTCACATGGGGCAGCCTGGGGGTGTCACGTCAGATGATCTGTGCTGCATCCAGCCCTGTCCATAAAATCATCTCTTTCAGCTTAATCAGTTTTAGTAACTAATTAAGTATTGGTAGAGAAGGAGGGGGTGTTAGTCCCACCAGTAAGTGCAGGAGCTGTGGGAAGTGGATGGAGTTAGTAGCATCTTGCAGTGGCACTGCCAGGTGTGAAGGAAGGCCACCCTCCCTGGCATGAATCTTTCAAAAATGGGAGCTGTTTTTAGAAAGAAAGAGCTTCTAAGTTTGTGTGGAGACAAAGTTAAAGAGCTTCCCCTGATCCTGCTTATTACAGTTTCTACTTGCCCTCTGCTGGCTTCCAGTCTGCACAAGTGCTCAGGGTTTTGGCATATCAGTATTTTAACCTCAGGAAAAATGGGTCTAATTCTACCATAATCAAACCCTGTGAGTACAATTAGTGTTTTGTGGTGTAGAGCAGAGCTAGATCATCAGCTGAGCCAGTCTTGCCACTCAGTTATGATAACCAGTGTGACATGTGCAAGACAAGATCATCTCATTCCCTCAAGAGCTTCAAGAGGAATACATAAAGAAACAGTGAAATGTGATTTGTGAGTTCTGCCCTTAGACAGCAGTGAGCTGCTTTTGCTTGGGTCCAGGCAAGTTTGTGTCAACTCTGTTGAGTGTTTAGGAAGCTTGTAATCTCAGCTGTATCTGTTAGACCCTGTTTAAATTTAGTCAGAATAAGGAGTGTTGTGTAAGGTCTGTGGCATTCCTGTCCCCCTCGAGCAGGAATTGTTCCTAACTCAGTCTGCTCCAAAGGTTATCCACTGTGCTGATATGAAATACGATGCTTTGCTGAGAATGGCTTTGGACATTTTCCAAATAAGCTGAAATCAGTTCGATGTGTAAGGTTAGGGATGCATTTTCCTTCTCTTTGCAAGGTCTCCTAGTACTCATCACAATCAGCACTACAGAAAAGAGGTAATTTCCCCTGCAGCTGCTCGCCATGTCCCCTGAGGAATGGGAATTCGTGCCTGTTGAACTGGGCACTCAGCAGTTAATTGTGCTGGAATCAAAGACAAACAATGAAATGTGTAATCTTGGGATGATGAGCCCTCCAATACTGGGACTAGGATAAGGAGTATAAAGTGCCTTTTCGGGGATCATTACTAAGGGCAAACTTGAAAACATCAAGCTTTATTATAAGATTTGATGATATTTGCTATCAGCAGCTGTCAGAATGGAACTGTAGAATAGCAAGTACCATGTTAGCTCGGATCCAGGGAAGACATCAAATGCAGAGTGGCTTTCCCTTGATCAGGACAGAAAAAGCATGAGGGGAAGCAGAGGCAATATCCTCTCCATCAGGCAGTGCTGACCATATGGAGCTCAGTGCATGTATGTCCTGTATAGGTTCTGCTTATTTTTTTTTTGGCCTTTGAAATATCAAAGAAGCTCCAAATCTTTGCTCCCTGGAATACCGGAAGGTGATGTAAAATTGTTCTCCAGCCGTTGTAATCTGTCTTCTGATGAGTGCTTTTCTCTTACAGTTCAGGAATCCAAGGGCATCACTCCATACCAGACTCTCAGATCTGTTAAAGCACCTTCAAAAGAAAGGAGACAGACACTGTCAGGAGTTCTACAGGGCTCTGCAGATCAATGCTGAACAGCTGTTTAATGACCTGCCAAGTAGGAAGATCTTGAGTAAGTTGATTTGTAAGTTGATTGAGTTGTGAATTTCCTCATCAGTGAATTTCCTCATTTCAGAGGAGGTTTAGGTTATTTAGACAACCTAAACAGGTTATAAATAATATAAATAAACAGGTTATTTAAATAAATTTTGGGGTGTACCTTAATTCCTTCTGACTGGAGTTTTCCAAAAGCCGTAAGGGGATTTGACTTCTTGTTAGTTGTTGATTAGAGCGGGCAAAACTCTTTGATTGTTTTGAAATATGAAATATGTATTTAAAACCAGTTTAAGTGCAAAATGTCAGCAGTATAACTCCTATGAATTACAGCTTCTCTTTCATACTCCATTGCTTCATAATGGCTTGTTTATTTCCTCTGTGCTTATTCTGACTTGCAGCACAGGAGAAGCATCCCAAACCTCCAATTTGTTAAGCTCAAATGTCTGCTGGCCCAGGAGCTTGGCTTTCCCCCAGTCCATAAATCTCCTCCTTGTGTCTCGTTTAACACGAAGCACACATTCATAGGCCCTTGCACTGATGGACTGGGATATTAAAATCACTTAGGACTTGTTCTGTGCAGCTGACTGATGTCCATAAAGCTGCCCCCCAAATTCTCTTGTTATGTGCTTTGTAAGGGCTGAGGCTCAAACAGATTTGGTTCTGTACTGCAAAGGAGTTCATTTCTTCAAGGAAAATTTCCAGCCTGCCTTGCCAGCCTGGGATAATGCTGTCTACTGTGTGTTGGTCTTTCTTTTTTTTCCCTACCTAAGAAATGCAGAAAAGAACACTGTTGCAGGTGGATGGGAAATTGGTTCAGGCATCCTGCACACTGAAATGACTTGAGGAGCTTGAGGGAAAACTCCCCCATTTATGTTAAGGAAGTTGCAAAAGGACTGCAGTTTAAGAAATCCTCATGAAGTATCCCAGCAGTAATGCTTCACTGCTCAGTTGATTTCTCCTTGTAAGAAACTCCTCAGTGAGGTGCCAGGGCAAATTACAGGCGTGAGACAAACTCCAGTGGGATCCAAACCATCACTGCAGAAGTCTGTAGGTTGACCTCTTTTACTTCTGCAGTGAAAATGTCACGTAAAAATGTAATTAGCTTAATTTCACCTTTCATTTTGAAGGAAGAGATTTGTATCTACCCAGCCCAGGCACTGTGAGGCTGCAGAGTTACCCCACATCCATACCTGAACCCTTTTGAAGTGGAAACTTCCTGCCTCAGGATCTCAGCTGAGCACCAATCCCAACTGTTTGAGCCTCGCAGCAGCTTTAAGGCAGTGTTATCATCTGATATTCACCTTGTAGAAGTCATGCCCTTTGGGGAACAGGCTCTTAAATCAAGCAGTTTTGGATCTATGATTTTCACTTGGGTAGAGCTCAAGAGCAGCAGGTTTTTCTGCCAGAAGTCAGCAGACAGTCAGCCTGTGTAAATTAAGAGCAGTTTAAAAAGCCTCAGTGTAGTCACTAAGAATAAAATTTCAAGACTGTTTTGATGTTTAGGAGTTCAAGCCTGTTGATGTTCAAGAACACCTTCTGCAAGCCGTGTCTGATAATGTATCTTTCCAAGGACACTCGGGTAGGGTCTGTGGGGTGTTTTCACTTTTAGCCCCAGCAGAAACGTGCCCATCCTTGCACCTGATTTGTGTGGTGACTCAGAGCTTTCCTCAGGTGGCCCTGTGAGTAGGCAGGGTTAGAGTTCCTCATGTGCAGACTGTGTGCACAGCAAGTCCCCGTGCTACAAGTGCTTCATGTTAAACATCCAGCTGCTTGTGGTGCCCCAGAACTGTTTTGCTGCTGCTGCATTATGCAAAGGGACTTCAGTAACCATCAGAAGTCATTAAATTCTCTGTATCTTGGTACACTCTCTTATGTTAACCATCCTCAGAAGGATGAGAATAATTTAAATATCTGGGTTAAAACACTGCCATGTGCTGAGATTCTGCAGTTTCCTTCTGTTGACCTGAGAAGGAAATACTGAGATGATTGTGTTAATATGCTTGCTGCTTCTCATGAGTTCTGTAATTAAAACAAGTGTCTGCAGTCTGGATTGAATGGTCAAGAAATGGTCTAGTGGAAGGAGTCCCTGCCCATGCCAGGGGGGTGGAACTGGATGGTCCTTAAGGTGCCTTCCAACCCAAACCTTTCCACGATTCCATAATACTCTTAAGAAGTACTTATTAAGTTTGGTAAGTTTAGCACAGAGCATTTACCAAATTGCCATTAAAATTTGTAAATGGGAAGAAAGAGGAGTATCCCTAACATGGGGGATTTGTTCTAAGTGCAGATTGAGCTGATACAAACAGCATTACAAACACCTGGAGAAATTATTGATAAGGACATGGATGAACCATGGCCAGGACTGAGTTCTGTAATAGCTTACATGCAGCTGTACATATGACAAATGTTTTCTACAGAGGAAATCCTTTCAAATAAATCTTCTTCATTTTTAAAACGGCTTCAAAAACTGTGCTAGAACAAAATTTCTTTGCCTGAAGTGTAAATTGCCAGCGCAATGCCTGGTAATGTCTGAGCATTCCCACTAGAGGGGGGGTAAGGCACGCGGTTGGAGCAGCCTCAGAGCTGTTCAAGGCCAACAGGAGCTTCCAGGTGACTCAGAAAATGTTTTTATTTCCCTCAGTGCTGACATAGACTAGAAGGATAAAGGCTCAGACCAGCCCCAGGCAGCGAAATCCTGAGAGAAGTGCAGAGGTGTGGCTGTGCTCTCCTGTGCAGGGTGAGGATTTCCAGCTGGAGTTCCCAGGAGGATGTCAGCCCCTCAAAGGGGCAGGCTGGGGGAGGCTGCCAGTGGCACCGAGTGCTTTGCAGCAATCCTTCCAGCTTCAAGGACTCTCAGGCCTCACAGCAGGGGTTCCTGTCCTGCTCCATGTGCTGTCCCCACACCGAGGGGCACATCCTGAGCAGGGGAGGTGGCTGTTCCCCTGACAGCAGCTCCTGTTGCTGCCTGGGTGTACAGGGCAGTTTTCCAAAGCACCTCAGCGAGCCTCAGATGTCATGTGGGAGAAGGAGATCAGCTGAAACCACAATCAGTCTCAAATGATTTCCTATTGGCAGCCATGTGTGGAGCCCTCACTTCTTCTCCTTTCCTTTTTTTAACCCTTTTAACCCTTTAGCGGTTGGACGTGGTGATCGCAGAGGTCTTCTGCAACCTTTATGATTCTGTGATTTTTTTACAACCACAAAGAGATTTGGCTGAAAAAATTGGTGATGCAGATTGGTGATGTTTTGAGGAAAGTCACTCCTCTGGCATGCCTGATGACTGCTGTGTGCACACCCCTTCTGCAGTGTTGTCTCCACGTCTGTGTGGCAAAGGCAGCTCTAAAAGGCTCTTTCTGCCCAGAGTGGAAACTACTGCACACTTTGTCTTAAGGCCAACCTCCTTTTCTACTTCAATTTGGGGAAAGATAGAGGCAAAAAATTATTTGTGCCAAATGTTAGCACATAGAACCTGAATTTAGGTAAATGATCAGCACCAAGAGGCCTTTTCCAAGTGCTTTGTCCATTAAATGCCTCAATACCCAGAGAGAGTTTGCTCAAGAACAAAGAATGGTGATACATCAAATTATAAAGTTTTCAGATTAGTGTGTCTATTAACAAATAGTTTGTATTTATTACCATGAAAATTGCCAGCATTATGGAAGGATTAGCTCCTGCTTTCCTCACTTGGGAAACAAGGGTAATGTTATTTATATGCTCAGTGCTTAAGCAGATCAGAGGTGGGGCTGCAGCTGTTTGTGGTTGCATTCAGGTGACTGTGTGCCTGTCTTTTGATCAGCATACCCTCAGCTTTTCTGACTCCAGCGATGATCTGTCTTCGGAGGGGTTAAAACTCTATGTCAGTATTGGGTATTTTTTTTAAATGTGTTGTTTTGCATCATTTCGCCTGTGCTGATTATGTTTGTTTGTTTGTTTGCTTGAGCTGAGTACTAACTTCTCATGTGTTGCTTTTGTTTCTAGAAACCCCAGATCCCACAGAGATAGACACTGACAAGGAGCAATATATGCTAAATGACAGGGGTAAATAAACCATACAGTGTCACCGGATGGAATGGCTTTGCAGATTATGATGCAATTTATTTTATCATGTAATTTGCATTTCGTGTAACAACTAGTTTGGTTTATGATGTCTTTACTGTCACAAGTTAAGTAGAATTAATGGAGTAAAATGTATTGAGCTGCTGTTGAGGAAACTAGTGCCAGGAAACTGAAGAGACTGTAGAGTTGAATCAATATTTACAATGGTATTTTTACTTATACTGTTACAGCTAAACTCTTCATTTCCTGTGATTTATTCAATGCTTGAACAGTAAGGGCTATTCAGATGCTGCTATCACTTTGCATAAGGCCATCAGTTTTTTTTTAATATGACTTTCAATTTTTTTCATCTTTTTGAGCTCTCAATTTAAGTATAAAATCATTTGAAAGCAAAGGCAGAAAGGAAGGATGTACTTAAATGTATTTTCTTTAGGAACACATGTTAATTATTTTCGCCTTCCTCTGTTCAGTGCCAGATTACAGAGACAAATGTTTTATTCACTGTAGGATATTTTGGAAAGGAAGAGCTGAAAGAAAGATGAAGAATTTTCTGAATTTATAATGAACTGCTTTATCATTTAAGTTTAATTAATATTTTATTTAGAGTTTTGGATACAATTATGAGATATTCAAGACACCTTCTGTAAATTATGCCTTTTTACCGGTTTTCTGAGAGAAAACTGAAACAAGGGGCAGAGGCACAGTTTAACTCAATGTATACCTTTGCCTGTGGTGGTGTTTCTTTGAATATGGAACCAAATTGCTGTTCACATTTTTCACACTGCTGTTGCTGTCTGCAGCATAACAGTACAGGAGGAGCAGGGAAAGTGCTCAGAAATAAGAAAATGAAGTAATATTTTATTTTATTTTTACTTTCTATATTTTTGTTGTTGTTGTTCCCCCTGAGCTGTCCTCAAACTGGAGAGTGTCTGGCCTCTAGCCACCCTCACTGGGAGGTTACATCCCAAGGAGCAACTGAATCCTTGCTCCTTTGCTGTTTCTCCAGTGTCAGCTCCGGGAATTTGTTAGTCTGCAGTACCCTTGTCCTTAAACTGACAGATGTAGTTTAATTGTAACTCTGTTCCTAGTGAAGTTTTAAATACAAATAGAATACTGGGCAATAAAGAAGCAGATATAAATCTTTATGAGGTTTTGTCAGTGGCTATGAGTGAGAAAGGTTTTATTGAACATCAGTACCGACCATCAGCATTAAATGTGTAATTCCAGGCAGGCAGTTTCCAGGGGGAGATTGGTTTTTAGGTGCACGGGTGGCTCTTCATCTCAGCCCCCAGGAGAGTTGTAAACAGGAACAAGAGTATCTGCTCTTGTCACGAGAGTGGAGTTTGTGGAACATCTGTGGGGAATAGGAAAGCCCCCTAAGGATGTGGCTCTGAGGGGCTGTGGGTGGAACTGCCACACTGTGTGGTGAGGGCCCTGCAGGCTGGTTAGTGTTTCCTGTGGTGTTTGAAGGGTGGTTTGCATAAAGTTTGAGAGTGAGGAAACATCTAAGGAAGCTTTCCCTTAAATTGCCCAGGCTGCAGCTAGATGAGCAGAGGGGAACAGGGGATGGTGGCAAAGCAACTGTAGTAAAAATTAACTGCAGTCCATTATGCCTCACAGAACATTAGCCACAGAACATACAGAATTGTGAATGTGTTAGCTTCATTTGAATATGCTTAATTATGCATATTAATAGCAACTGATGATTTATGAACCAAGCTAAACTTCTGCCTGCCCTTAATGTGTTTCCTTTTGCGTTTTCTCCAGGCCCGGTGTTCTTCCTGGCCTGTTTCAGCGTGGCTGCAGGACTTGCCCTGTTTTGGTATTGCTGTAACTCAGGTGAGCTGCTCTGGGGGGGTTTCTCTTGGAAAGGGAAAGGAAACACATTGGAAGGCTCTGCCTTCCCTAAGCACGGGGCAGAGAGGGCTCCTGCTCTGACATGGCTCAACGGGGAGGGTCAAGGTGTCATCATTCATCAGTGAGCTCAGGGTACAGACTGCACTGCAGACGTGCTGGGGTATAAATAATGGATAGTTTGCCTGAGAGGATGCCACAAACAGGGGCTCTTTTTAAAGGCAGTGGTCACACGAGCTCCTGTTGCTATAGCAATGGGTCATGATTCCCAGCAGTCATGAGACAGACCCAAGGCCTCTGATTCCCACAGCCCCTGGGAGCCAGTGGAAGCTTGGCCAGTGCCAGGGCTGGACCGTGCTGGCTCGACTGGCTGAGCCTGAGCAGCTACAGCCATTGCCCCTGCTGCTGGCTCTGGGTCTTGGCTCTACCTGTCACTTTTGGGTCAGTGCCTTCTGCTCCTCCTGCCCCGGACACAGCAGTTACAGTTATGTTGTTCTCTGCTGGTTTCCTTCACACAGTTGTAGGTTCAAGTAGCACCAGTTGATGGAATTTTCAGGTGCTGTGGAAGTCTGGGCTCTGTGCTTCGTTCCCAGATCAGAATCCCTCAGCTGGACTGTCCATGGTGTCACAGTTTGAGGCTGAGGGAAGCCCAGCAAGCCCAACCCTGTGTGTTTCTTTATATGCCATCCCTTCCCCTGATCCCAGTTCGTCCATAGCGCTATAAGTGTGTATCTTACTCTCAATTTGAACAGGCTTCAGATCCAGCCTAACATTTCTGTTCAGCCTTTCTCTGCCAGACTGCAGAGCCCCTTGTTTCTGTGCCAGCTGACTTTGCATATTTGCTCCCCGTGGAGTTCCTTGTGCCTCAAGCCATCTCTATGTCCGTAGTGCGTAATTTTAGCAAAAATAATCTCAGCCAGTGTTTTGTTGCAAGGCTGCTTTTTGCAGTTTGTGAGGCTCTTTCCTGACTGTGGTATCTCAATGCCCTCTGTGTAACAGGGCCACCAGCCCTGGATGTGGTGGTCCAGCCTTGCACCATCCAGTGCCACGCTCAGGTGTAAAGCTGCCCCTTCCCTAACTCACCAATCTCCTCTTCCCATCTGAACTTGCAGCAATGAATCCCAACAGGTTCATTGTTCTCCTCTCTTGGCAGTTGATTTCTACAACATGGAAGGAAATGTTTCCTCCAGAGTTATTTTCAACTGATTTTTATTTTTTGCAGGTGCTGCTTCCCTGCTAAGAATGAATCTTAACTGTGTTCACTTTCTCTTTTTCCTCCCATCTTCATTCTGTTTTAGATACAAAAGTCGTAGGAAGAGCCAGGAGAATCTTGGGCTTTTCTCCTATTATCATAGGAAGACATGTTAGAAATATTTGTATGTTGTATCTGGAAGACATATCAAGAGATTAAGGAAGAGCTGCCTCCTCGCTTGTCTGTACAGTAACCTGCCAAGGGAAGCCAACGGTGCATAAATATTAATCTCCTGTACTCATACCAAAGATTTTATTAACTAGCTTCATCAATAATTGCCTTGCCTCCAGATGTATTCAGAATTTCAGCTATAAATGTCCTTCCCTCTGGGAACAGACCATTTATTTTTGTAAATGCTTATTTTAAAATATTTATCGTTTGGATAAAAAAAGGTATTTTTTAATACAAGCTTTAAAAGGATCTCCTAAGTGAGGGCCTAAAGCCGTGTTTGCATATGTGTTTTGTACTGGAATGAAGGATCACAACTGTCTGAAGAATGCTAGCCTGCCTTTTGTGGTAATTAATTTAAGAGAAGTACTTCAAACAAACACATGCACTCAAAGCCTTACTAAGAAATGGATCTCCATTTCGGAACTGTTTTGTCTGGATCCTTTGTGCTGCCTGCCCTGAGCTCAGGTGTGAAAAGTTTATGGGTGCCAGTTCCCTTTGTGTCTGCCTCGTGCTCAGAACGTCTTTGGATTCCCCGCTGGTGCCTCATCCCAGCCTGTTCCTGGTCACACCCTGCTGGCCCTGGTTTGGATGCCCTGGACTGGTTCCCAGCCCACAGAGGGTCCCAGGGACTGGAATGTCTGGCCTGAAGCACTTCAGACTACCAAGAAGATGTTTAAGGTTTCTTTAGCTCTCCCTTTCCCAGTGAAGGGCTTTGCACTCTGTGTGTCTGAGAAACAGAACTAATCCAAGATACTTTGCAGTGACTTAAGTGACACAACATGGGGCTTTTTTGTGGCCAGAAATACTTGAAGAGCCTGGGGTTGTTCATATGTCATGTGGTGATGTTATGTTTTCCTCTTCTGTGAGTTGAAACCTGAGAGACTTGCAGAAACCATTGCAAGATAAAATTCCTGAGGGAGAGGCAGGGAGTTGGGCTGCAAGTCAAGCAGCTTGGGGTTTCTCAGCTTGCTCCTGCCCCAGTCAGTGCCAAGGGCTGTGGAGAGTTCTTCAGTTACTGCTCAAGAGCAGCAGGAGCTTGGGGAGACCATGGTCCTGTACCTGGTGAGAAAGACACTTCTGTGGCTCTTCATTCAGTCAGGAAATTTCCAGATCAAATCAGATGTCATCTGAATGAACAGCTACAGCACAAGGTACCAAGCACTGGAGGATCTTGTGAAATTTTCAGTCATTTGGAGTGGTTTTTTTCAAAGCCGACTGAAAATTGTCTTTCAGCTTTAAACCTTAATCATGCTATTAAAATGTCATCATCAGGGATTTTTATGTGGGTAGATAGTGATAGGACAAGGGGAAATGGTTTAAACAGGCAGAGGGCAGGGTTAGATGGGATATTGGGAAGAAGTTCTTGGCTGTGAGGGTGGGGAGGCCCTGGCACAGGTTGCCCAGAGGAGCTGTGGCAGCCTGGGCTAGTGGAAGGTGATAACAATAATAACACCCAGCAGAGCAGATTTTTTGACTCCTTTCTTGACCCCCCCCCCCCAGCTCATGTGTCCCTTGATCCCATCTCAGGGGGAGCTCTTATTAGGGAGAGAACATCATATTTCCTACAGAATTGGGCAGTCAGGAGGCTCTGCTGCCCCTGTTACACAGTGGCTGCTGCTGTGCTTCCTCCCAGCTTGGGGAGGGCTTTAATCATAGCCTCTTGTTTTCTCCCTGCCTTGCCTTGTGTTTAAGGTGAAAACAGGTTCTATTTTTTCTCCAGCAAAGCAGATCTAGTTTATAACATTTAAAATTATCCCTCTCTCCACTGGTGCTCCTCTAGCAGCCCCTTCTTGAGGGACTAAAAGAACTACCTCTGAATGCTGAAGGGGTTTTAAATCTCTGCTCTGAAGCCAAATTTGAAACCTCATTAGAGGAACAGTATACTGTTGTTCACACAAAAATCATTATTCCAAATAAGACAGGCACCTCATTTTGAAGCAGAAGCCTTACTGCTGCCAGGCAGATTCTTTTTTTTTTTTTAGCTTACCCCCCATGGAATAGCAGGTTACAAATTGTTGTGAGCTGCTGTTGAGACCTGCAGAAGTTATCAGTGCCTTTCTGAATCTGAAGATGAGAATTTGCTGTACTGCCCTCTTGGGCCAATCTAACCCTGTGCAGCAGGACATGGTCCTCCTAGTGCCTTAAACAGTGCCTTCTTGGCATGGAAACCATATGGAATCAGGGAGTCATAGACTGGGTTCAGTTGGAAGGGACCTTAAGGACCATCTTGTTCCAACCCCATGGGCAGGGACACCTTCCAGCAGCCCAGGTTGCTCCAAGCCCTGTCCAGCCTGGCCTTGGACACTTCCAGGGATGGGGCAGCCACAGCTTCTCTGGGCAGCCTGTGCCAGGGCCTGCCCACCCTCCCAGGGAAAAATTTCCTCCCAGTATGGTACAGAGAAGTTAACTAAAGGCTAGAACTGTATTTCCTCCCTTCCTGAGGTTGCTTGAGATGAGGATGCCTCTTAGGGGGAAGAAAAATGTGATCCAGGATGAGCTGTGCCAAGGAGGTTTAGAGCTGGGAGGAGAGAGGAAAGATGAGTCTTGGTTCATCCCAGCGTTAAAGGACCTGACCACAAAGAATAGAAAACAATCTGTTCCTTTATGAGTGCCAGTTACTAATTCCAAAAGGGAAGGTGAGGCTGCCTGTAAGACTGGCATGTGCATAGGCTGGGAGACATTCTTGGAAGATTTTTCTTTCAGAAGCTTCTCTGCAAGCCCATGCAGACAGTGATAGTTCCATCTTCAACTCCGGGAGGAAGCACATGTGTGCCTGCATGGGAGTCAGGTCCTTTTTGGCAACCAGTGTTATGGACTGGGGAATAAATCAAGCAGGGTCTTGGATGAGGCTGCCTGGCTGCAGAATTCCAGTTTCCCTGGCAAGTCTAGAATATTATCTTGGCCTTTGCTGCTGAAACTGTGCTGGTATTTATTTATAACTGTGCTTCACTCTGAGTGCAGGGAGGTTGTCCTGGCTGGGTTGTAGGTGGGTACATGTGCAGAGGGTGGGGGCATCCTTGTGAGTGCTGCATCCTCCTTGTGCTGCAGGCAGGAATTTCACAGGAGCTAAGGAAAAGCAGGCGTGTTTCCAGCATACCTTCTCTCACCTTGGGCAGCTCCCTGAAGAAGTTCTTGCTTATCCCTGCAGCATTGTGCCTTTAGTGGCATTCCAGGCTAAGGAGGCAGGTGGCTGCTGGAGAGGGATGCTCTCCTGGAGGGCTGGATGTGGCTGTCAGGAAGGAGATGAGGGTGGGATGTGCAGGTCATGGAGCCCTTGGCTCCTGCCAGCTCAGATCCTGCTCTGCAGCAGCTGCTCCCACCAGGAACTGTCCCCCTGTGCTGCTGGGAGACTTGGGCACGAATCCCAAGGGGAGGGAATGGGGGATGAGCTCCAGGTTCTTCAGCCCCAGGACCTCCTGATACTTAGCAAAGAAATCACCTCCTTCCCTGTTTTTCTTTGTGTGAATGGGCATTTTGATTTAAGGTAAAGCTGAACCACCTCTGATTGTCCTGGTGGTGATGTTAGGGCTGTCTCTATCCCAGGACAAGAGCTATCCCATGGGATAACCCCCAGGCTGGCGTGCAGGTGCTGGCCTGAGCCGTGGAAATGGTTAAGGCAGAGCGATGGGGCCATGTGTGCAGAGAGCTGGGAAGCGAAGTGACAGATCCCACAATGAATTTGCACAATTCCATTTAAAGCCAGCCTGCTATTTAGAGGACTTGGTGAAGGATGGTGTGCCTGCGATCCGGAGTGGGAAGGAAGTGATGATTCATTCTGGATGCGCTGGGCTCTGTCAGAGCTGCTGGCTGGAGTTCACAAAGCTCCCGAGGCAAACCTACTCCTCTTGTTTCTTTCATTTGTCGTTATTCTTCTCATACTGTAATAAAGTGAAAACATGTTCAGTGTGTGCAGATGTTATTCCGCGTTATTCCATGTTTTTATGCCACGCCTCGGCTGTGCCCCAGCACTGCTACCCAGGAGCAGTTTGCTGCTCTTCCCGAGGTCCTGTGCCTTGTAACAATGTCTCTGAATGTACATCTCCCTGGATCCTGTAGAAATTCATGGATTTCTTTTTTTTAATGGGATAAAGCTGGCAATTCAATTGAAATAAAATCTGTACTGAGAAAAGGATGCTGCTGTTTGTCTTGTAGTTAACGTGATGTGCTTCCTTGCAGAGGGGCCCCTCGGTTGTTGCCCTCCTGTCGGTCCCTCCTGGGCTCTTGCCCCTCATGGTTAAAATTTTTCTGGGTATTTGTGGCAAGATTTTTAATGTTTTCATCCGCTTTCAAGATTCTTTGCAGTTTTTCTGCTTAACGTGTTTAAGTGATCCGGAGTTAAACAATGGGACTCTTTGGTTAAGCCCTGACTTGGTGTCATTTTGGGAGTCCTGTGAGTCACTGCCCACGAAGGCTTGTGTGGAGACCCACCTGTGCTTGGTGCAAAGGGGCTTTGACCACTCAAAAAGGGACTGCAGGTAAGAAAGAGATTTGCAGACAGATTTGTCACTGGCCTGTTCTTTCGGATAAATTTTGAAGGGGGATCTGCTGGTCTGGGTGCCTCTCTGGGCTGTCTTAAGGATCCCACCAAAGGCACTTGTTGCTGGAGTAGGAGAATCACAGGATCATGGCATTGTTAAGGTTGGAAAAGACATCTGAGATCATTAACTTCAGCCATCAACCCAGCACCACCACCACATTCACCACTCAGGTGCCACATCCACACGTTCTGTGAACACTTCCAGGGATGGTGACTTCGTGACTGGGCTTTCCAGGGCTGGACAATGATGAAGAAATCTTTCCTAATACCTAATCTAAACCTCCCCTGGCAAACCTGAAGCCTCAGGGGGAGTCACTGGCCCACAGCCAGGATTATATCCTCTGCTGCAACACTCTTTGGGGGGCAGGAGGAGCCCCAGAGCCTGGGCAGTGGGCGCTGTTTAACAGGCCCTGGGTGGTGTCGGTGGAGGAGGATCTCCAGCCTGAGATACCTTGATCAGCAGGAGAGATTTTCTCATCGTCCTGTGCCTTTCCTTGGACTGTCTCTCCCTGGTGAGTGGGAACCAGAGTGTCTCCCCTCCTTTCCCAGTGGTTTGTGGCCCTTTGGGAGGAGGAGCAGCTGAGGATGCTGTGCCTGTGCTGAGGGCTGTGCCCCCACCCTCTGCTACCACAGGAATGGCCTCGTGCCAGGTGCCAGAAGGGACCAGTGCAGAACTTCATGGGCATCCCCAGGGTTTGGATGTCATTGAAAACCAGCTTGATGATGCTACAAAACTCTAGGATTTGGTGCAGGGGGTAATTTTGTTCATATATTTAACTCACCCACTTCACTGGGATGTTCCTAATGCCAAATGCAAAGAAAGCAGAAGGAGATGAGACAGACGTGCAGCAACACTGCTCTGGTTAATTCAGTGCCACTGCTTTGGCATAAAAGAGCATTTTGGGTGAATCCTGAGTTGCCCTTTCTATTTTGGAGCACAGGCTCCACTCTACACTGTGGTCACAAGGAAAAGCTTTCTGCTGTGGTGCTGTTGATAAATCTTTAATAACATTGTGTCTAGTAAAGCAAAACCCTTTCAGTCTCGGTCTGTGCTTCATGAACTGGTGACAGGGGAAGTCAGGTGCCAGCAGCTGGAGTGTCACAGCTACCTGGAGCCTGAGTAAATCACTGGCAAGACACGTCCTCACAGCACAATTTACATCAAATCCTCTCTTTTCAGTAGCAAAATATGTCATCACACTCGGGTGGTTTGGGTGTTTTTTCCTTCTAAGCCCTGGTTTTAGCTCCTGTGGGTGTCTCAGTGCCCATCCCTTTGGAACAGCTGGGTCTCCAGAGCTGCTCCTGCTGAGCACTCTGCAGCAGCACAAAGGGGGAGATCTGAGGGCGTTTTTTCCTCCGTGGGCTCTGAGTTAATTCATTTTAAAAGCTCCTAGCAGAGGCTGAAAAGAGGAAGCCTGTGCCCCTTAAATATTCCTGATCCGTAACAGTTGTGGACAGGTGGCTTTTGCTACTCATCTCTCTGTGGAGGAAGAAGCCCACCCACAGAGACAGATCTCCAAATCCCCTCACTGGAAACCTTTGGAAGAGGTGTGTTCCCTGCTCCCATGGCTGCCTTACTGAGCTCAGCCCTCTCTCCCTCTCCCACCCTTCCTGTGTCCACGGTGACCTTTCCACTTGCCTGGGTGCTTCACTTTTAAAGCTCTCTTAAGAACATTCCCAAGCTCAAAGCAGGTTCTGTGTATTTTCAGGGAGGGAGAAGAGGCCAAAAAAATCTGCCATCTCCATCCTACCAGTTCTAGCTGGGGACTTACCCTTGCTTGGAAGGACGACACACCTTAGAACTCGGAGATGCCAGGTGCAGTCAGAGTCTCCAGAGGTGAGGAAGCTTCATCCTTCACTCCGAGGTCCCACCTGTGCTTCTGGAGCTGGCTCAGAGACACCCTGACTTATCACTGCTCTGGAAGAAATCTGTTCTGCCAGGAGATAAATTAGGGCAGGTAGGGACCAAATTCAAAGTCCAGGTATAACAGGTAAAATCATAGCAGAAAATAATAATTATTATTAACAGTAATAATTCAGATGTTAGTTTTCTATGAAAGAGTTGCAAAGGCATCTTTCAGGGATCCTGGCACCAGGCTGGGAGCACTGTTGGGAGCAGGTGAAACTTAGACTCTGGATGAGCTGAGTCAATAAGAAAACAAGCAGGAAGTAAATTCCTCATTGAGAGCTGGATGAAATTCAGCCTTGGATGAGTCTAGGCTGGTCCTGACTCTGGAAAAGTGAACCAGACTCATAATTCCTTGTCTCTGCAAGTGAAGGGGACAAGCAACTTCAGGAAAATAGTGACAGTGACATCAGGTCTGAAGGTGCCAGCCCCTCTGTGTGATAACCATGGTGCCTTCAGGGCACTGTGACGAGTCCTGCCAGCGTGGCTGTGGGGCTTTCAAACCTGGTTTGTAACAGCATGGAGAAGAAAGAGTTTTTCTGGGTTGTGAAGGAGAGCACTGACCCACACAGGCCTGGCTTGTTCCCAGTGCTCCCCATTTAGTGCACTTCACACATCCAGCTTTGTTAGGACACGTTCCCAGGATCCGAATCTCCACGAGGGATGGAGAGGCCTGGGGGGATACAGTCATTTCTTTCCTGAGTGATGCTCTCCCTGGCATGCCTGGTGAATCATGTTTTCTGACACAGAAAAAAAAATAAATCCTATTTCAGGGTAAAGACACATAGCTGTCTCCCTCCACAGCTTCCACAAATCCCAAACAAATCTGAAACATAAGGCCTTCCCAACAGTTTCAATTTCATCCCTGATGCCAGAAATCTGGGGTAATGTTGGGTGGTGATGAAACTGATTCATTGCTGAATGTTTTTGGCGCTGGTGAAAACGCCTGGCAATGTTTCAGGAGCCCTGGTGTGGTGCCTCATACCGTGGCACGAGATTTACCACCCACCTCCCAACTAATCAAAACTTGTACTGTTAAAAAGGGGTTGGGGAGGCCTCTGGGCTGGGAGATTGGAAAAAAAGGTGGAGGAAGAGTGGAAAACATCATGAAGGATCATGGGGAAAACATCATGGAAGAGAAAGGAACCTGAGTTTTTGCCATTTCCATTGGACAAAGCCCAACTTGCCTGATGAGGAGGCGCTGGGTCTTCTCTGCTCCCAGCTGGGAGCTGTGGCTCTGGGAGCTCCCTCTCCTTGGGAAGGCAGCCAGGTTAGTAAACAGCTCTCCTTGTGGGAACCCAAGGTGGGGAAATGAACCATGAAAACAGATCTTCAGCCAGCTGTGGAGGAAGAGGAAAGCGAGTTCAAAACAACCCCTAGCACCCAATAGCAGGGAGGGCAATTTTTTGTCACCATCCTCATCTTCCCTCAAGTGCCTTTTCTCATTTATTTTCATTTATTTCTTGCTCTAGTAATGTTTCTGGCTCTGGTTCAGTCTTGTTGATCACCTGTGAATATTACAGGGCTGTGGCAAGACCCCTACAAGACACCAGGGGAGGTGGAGTCCTCTCTCTAAGGAGATGAGATTTGGCAGCTCTTCTCCTGCTCCTTAAGTGTTTCAGCTATAAGGCAAGAGACCTCTCCCTTTCCCATGGGAAAAAGGCATCTGCTCCTCAGCTGTCTCGCTCTCCAAGATGAAAGGGGTGGGAATTTGGGACACAGCAAACTCTCTTCCCTCCTGCATGCTTCCCAGAGGGCAGTTAGCTCAGGCTGAGGAGTCGTCCTGAGCCAGAGATTCCCTGCTTTCCAAGACTTGGAGCCCCTTGGTGTTGAATGTGAAAGCTGCCAGAACCAACCTGAAGTGCTGAATGTTGTTCCACAGAGAACATTTCCCATTGCTGTGGGAGTTTTTTCCAAGATTTTTTTTCCAAGATTTTTCCTCTGTTCCTTGGGGCAACATCTGCATCTGAACATACTGGGTGGGGTGGTCTTCACAGTGGGGGAACTTCCCTTTGAGGTCATTAAATTTGTGTATATTTAAGTGACCCTAAGAGCTGTGCTGCTCTTCACTGGGAAAACAAAACAGAGAATTTACAAATAGCCACCATCTGCTGCTATCTGGGGCACCAGTTGTTTCCAGGCTGTTCTGAGGGAAATGCTGTATCCCCACCATCCCTCTGCAGCATCATTTCCTGGGTATGGGTTGAACAGTGGTAAAACCAAATGGGTTGTACAATGCATAATTGGTACCAAACATAGCTTTTCCTGAATCAGATAAAACTTACAGTGGCAACCCCTCTGGTAAGTTAGAAAATCATCTGAGCTTAATGTTTGGATTCTGTCACTCATTTGTGAGAACTCTTTTGTAAATGACTTCAATGATCAAGATTATCATGTTGCTGCTGCTTCTAGCAATAAAAGAGCACCCAAGCTTTTAGGGTGACATGTAGTGACAAGCCCCTGCCCTGGACCAAGGGGATGAGTGCAGTGCCCTGGTAGTTTTGGTACAGGGCAGGGACCCCCAGTCAAGCAGCACCCACCCCAAAGTGTGGCTGGCAGGGGCCAGTGTGACTTGCAGGAACACACAGAATTACAGAATCATTAAGGCTGGAAAAGATCTCCCAAGATCAAGTCCCATCTCTGACCCATCACCACATTGTCAACTAAAGCACAGCACTAAGAGCCATTTCCAGTCATTTCTTCCAGGGATGGAGACTCCATCACATCCCTGCATTGCTCTTTCCAATTGCCTGACCACCCTTTCCACGAAGAAATTCCTCCTGATGTCCAACCTGATCCTCCCCTGGCACAATTTGAGACCATTTTCCCTCATCCTGTCCCTTGTTCCCTGGGAGCAGAGCCTGTTCCTCCCCCTGGCTCCCCCCTCCTGTCAGGGAGTTGTGGAGAGTGAGAAGGTCCCCCCTGAGCCTCCTCTTCTCCAGGCTGAGCCCCCCCAGCTCCCTCAGCTGCTCCAGCCCCTTCCCCAGCTCCGTTCCCTTCTCTGGACACACTCCAGCCCCTCAATGTCCTTCCTGTAGTGAGGGTCCCAAAACTGCCCCCAGGACTGGAGTGTGACCCCACCAGTGCCCAGCACAGGGGACAGCCACTGCCCTGGCCCTGCTGCCACCCTAATGCTGGCACAGCCCAGGTGCCCTTGGCCTTCCTGCCCACCTGGGCACACCCGTGCTCACCTTCAGCCACTGACACCAGCACTCCCACAGCCTTTCCCAGCTTTCCAGCTGCTCTTCCCATGCCTGGAGCTGCAGGGGGCTGTTGTGACCCCACTGCAGGACGCTGTACCCTTATACAGTTGGCCTCAGCCCACAGATCCAGCCTCTGCAGAGCCCTCCTGCCCTCCAGCAGATCAACACTCCCACCCAACTTAGTGCTGGTTAGAAGAAATCAAAACACCTGAATGGCAGTTCAGCTGAAAACAGTAACCAGGATGGTGCTTTCTGCTTCAGCCCATTTTATGTAAGACTCAGCAGCAGAACAATCTCCAGCAGTGACCTGGTTCAGAGGACAAACACTTAAAAAGTCAGTTCCAGCAAATATACTTGTTGTCACCTGCTTCAGTGAGTCCAGCTAGGCTGAAAATCTCAGCCCAGGCAGTTGTGGGTGCTGAAGGGACTGATGAGAAGGACCATGTGCAGTGCTCAGCCTGCCCAGCAGCTTATGAAACAGGAGCGAACGGCTGACCTGGCACGAACCGCTCCCCACACAGCCTGGAAAATTCATCTGGCTTCATTATTGATGACCTCTTTTTGAGGGAGGCATTTGCCTCCAACCAAGAACTCTGGAGAAGCACAGCAGCCCAAACCCGTGGATTTGTTTGCCTCCCCTCAGAGGTTCTCGCCGGGATTTTAAAGCAGCACCTGACTTAAAAGAATAACGATCCCGTCATTAAATAATTTATATCTGAAACCAACTTGCAGATGCTTTTGTTTGCTAAAAAATACATGAGCTCTGAAGGCTTCAGAGAGTTAGAATACAGATCGCGTGCCTGAGGGTGTTTTGCAAATCTTCATCACAATAAAAGACAACGGGAATAAACCAGCAGCCTTTTTATTTAAAAAGGACATCCAGTGGCAAGTTGAATGCTGCTGGTGCCCTCACAGCCTCAGAGGCTGATGGATGGCTCTCAGGTCAGGTTTTTGCATGTTTAGAACCAAAAGAAGAGACCAGGCTCTCTCTGTTGTGATGCTTCAGTCCCACTTGCAGGAGGTCAGGAAGCAGGAGGATTCCTGGCGGGTTTTTGTTGTGGTTCTGAGCCTGGCTCTGGCAGACTCCAAGTGAACAGGCATCCACCCCCTCACTGCACTGGCTCCAAATCCAGCTCTTGGCATCCCAAAATGTGTTCAAGCTTCAAGTATTTTTTTCCTTTCATTCTAACAATTCCCAAACCTCCGTGTTGCCAAGTCCACTGGAACCTGCAGCTGAGAGGCTGCAGTTGAGAACTGCCTGGTGAGTGTTCCCTGCCCTACTGCTCTGGATCCTGGTAACTCCACAGGCTGCCAGGTGATGGGATACACGAGCCTTGGTAGTTTGTGCTGGACAACAGCTCAGCAGGGAAGATGCTCTAAGAACAACTGTTACATTTCTCAGGAGGAACCCACTGAAACCTTCTTTGCCTGCGTGACCCGAATAATTATGGTTCAATAAAGAGTAGAATAAAATGGAATGGCTTCCCACTGCCAGAGGGCAGGGAGAGATGGGATATTCTTCCCTGTGAGGGTGGTGAGGCCCCTCCATCCCTGGAAGTGTCCAAGGCCAGGCTGGACGGGGCTTGGACCAACCTGGGCTCGTGGAAGGTGTCCCTGCCCGTGGCAGGGGGTGAATGAGATGAGCTTTAGGGTCCCTTCCAACCCAAACCAGCCTGTCCATGACAGGACAGGGCTGTGGCAGTAAAAAGCACGATCAAAAGTGGGCCCAATATCCCCTGAGTAGGAAGCCAGCAAACATCAGCAGAGCCTGGGTGTCTGTCTGCACCTGCCCTTGGGGTGGCAAGGACAACTCAATAAATCAGAGATTAACTAAGTGCCAGAAAGACTTTTCTTCCTATTTTTATGTCTTGGTTAAAAAACTAGAAGGATGCAAAGCTGGCAATGGAAAATATCTAATAATCATACTTAAGAGTGACTTCTGGACAGGTTATGTATTCAGGGCAGCACAAAGAAACAAGACACCTAACTCAGGTACAAAGTTTCTTGTAAAGAACAGAGGCAGCTGCCCCCAGAGAGCCTCTCCAGCCAAATCAGATGTGCAGACAGGCAAAATATTCCAGGGAGGAGAATGCTGAATGTAGAAAAGGTGATACAGTCAAGAATCTTATCAACATTACTGCCCACTGTTCAGCCACAGATAAATTTCATCCTGGAAGGGCTCTGCCTACAGTCACCTGTTTCCTTCAAAAGAAAGGTTCTCAGACTTTCAGCCCTGCTCTGTGGGCAGTGAATTCACTGCACTGCAGCATCAACAGTGTGACAGAACAAGGAGTTTGTAAAAAACTTAATACAGGAAATCATCCTGAGTGCCTCATTCAGAACTTGTTCTGAGCTACATTTAAATTGGTGCAGCACACACAATGAAACCAGTGACTGCCAGATGCTGGTTAAATACATGTTACAATGGAAATGAAGCAACAAAAGACAAATTAAAAAATCAAAAATAATTCCATTACTCATCACACAAGTTTGTTTTCTGTTAGCAATTCTTACAGAACATGTACATGAAGATCTGGTACATCAATGAGCCTTGAGACATAACCAAAGAGAAATGTGAGCAATAAAAACGCAGCAATAAATGAAATGAACACGTAGAAGTCAAACTTCTATTCCTATGTGCAAGGGAGCATTTGAAAATTAACGGTAAGGAAATGCATTAGTACAAATCTGCATCTACACATAAGCACAACCGAGAAAACTTGGATTTTTCTGACTGCAGATGAAATAAAATGACTGAAATGTTTTTGTTGTAACCTACACCATTACTAGCAATAGTGTGTTTAGAAAAAGTGTCAGTCCCTGAGCCAGCAGGTAAGAACCTAGAAGATATTTATCTCTCTATATATATACTTAAAAATAAAAATTTAAAAATTACTTATGCTCTCAGCCATAAATTCATAAAAGTAACAAAATTGCAGCAATCAATGACGGGAAGAGGGGAAATTCAGCCATGGAGAGACAAACTTCTTTCATTTTGCCACTTGAATTGCTGACAGGCACTCGGGACCAGTTTACAGGTGGAGTTCACCCTCGCTCCTCCAGTTTTCCAATTGGGCCTAGAAAAGGTGCTGCTTCTAACAGGGTTTCCAGAGATCTGATATAAGAAAGAAGTTTTTTACAATGAGGGTTGGAGGCCCTGGCACAGGTTGCCCAGAGAAGCTGTGGCTGCTCCATCCCTGGAAGTGTCCAAGGCCAGGTTGGACGGGGCTTGGAGCCACCTGGGCTGGTGGGAGGTGTCCCTGCCCATGGCAGGGGGATGGAACAACAATTTTCAAGTTCCCATCCACTCTGAACCATTGTGTGGTTCTGTGACATACATATAATGCACAGAACACAGGGAACAGCAGCTCATAGTAAGAAACTATTAACAATTAGGTTATTTGTGTGTCTGTGCACGAAGGACAGGAAAATTTAAGTGTGCCCAGAGATGAAGAAACAAATGAGTACCTGCGAGCAAAACTGGACAAAAGAGAGCTGATTGTTTCTGTTTGTCTCATCTTTCCTTCAGCTAGAGCGGAATACAAAAGGAAAACAAGGCACAGCTACCTTTGCACTCTGCAAAGGAAGAGCACTGCTGGGCTACAGAGCACACGGGCTTGGTGCCAAGCTGTGAAATAAAGGACATGACCACGCCAGAATCCAAGGCCTGACGTTTCTTACCATGGTGGAAAGGACAAACTGCCACAAAAAACAAAGGCACATAAAAAAGAAAAAGTCCTGTGAAGTGCTACCAGATGATATTTCCTTGCTTGATGAGCTTATGTCGCTTCTCTGAAAAAGAGGGAGCTCCTACAGGAACTGAAATGCCAATATTCCAGAAAAGCACCGTCCTTGGGGCAAAATCCACCTTTTCCTAGATTCCAGACAGTTTAAATATTAACACACGGGGAAATTTTAGGTGCACAAAGGTACTGGTTGTTGGAAACTTGGGAAAGCTGCTCAGAGTGTCCAGCTCCTTTCAGATAATTTTGTCTTCCCCGCTGTGTCCAGGTGTTAACTGGCTCAAGTGCAAATGGCATCTGGAATGAACGCTCCAGGTGTCTGAAATGCAAAGATATGGAGATGTTAGTGATGCAGGAATTATGACAAATGACACATTTACTTCAAAGGGGGAAGCGAGTTTCTGTGGGAAAACAGTGCATAATAGTAAAAGGGGAGGCCAGAAAATGGTGACCACCCACTTCTCTCTGGGTTTTGAGGAGACTGTGGCACCAGACTGAAAACCACTCAATTTTTTCAAGTTACATTCAGATGACCAGGTGTTTTTAGCAAGGGCAATGTGCACTTCACAATCCCAGCCATGATTAAGCCACAAAACCCTTTGGGTTGACAGTTTATGGAGAGCAGAAGGAATAGCAGAGGAGAAGCTCCAATACAAATGCTGTCCAGGGCACCTCCCTGCCAGCAGGTGCCAGCTAAGCAGCCAGGCATGGCACAAAAACACTGCTATTTCCTTAGGCCTGTTTCAGAGTCTTGTCTCTGCCTCTGTTCCTGGCTATTCTGTGTGTTTTGCCCTGTGAAGGCAGCTAAAATTCCAATAATTCTTCATTCAGCTCTCTTGCCTTGACCAGTGCAATTTTGGGGTTAGTGCTTCAGTACTGCTTTAACATGTACTACTGAGATCAACATTCTCCCTATGATTCTGGTAACAGCTCAGATAATCTGTGTGCTTTTTGCTGCTAAAATTAAATATTTATTAGTTTATTTGTAGTGACTATGGTCAGAAAACACAGTAAAACGATCTTGTTTCACTGCCAAAATTTCACAGGTTTTGGTTAGAGCAGATAATTCCAGCTATACCCTGAAATAAATTAATTTAATTCTTCATTTTCCTAGTAATTTGTTGCACCTGGTTTCCCCCCATCCTGTTTAGACTGATGACAAATTTTGGTCTGACTCCCATTCTTGTTACAGACTTCTGTTGTGCCATTCACCTACAGACTGGGGGTTTAAAGGCCTTGTATCTTCCTTTTTCATGGAGAAAGGGTTTCCTTTCTCTGTCAGAGCAGCCAACATACCATGGCCTGCCAGGAAAGCCAGCTAATTCCTTCTTCAGCAGCTCTCTGACCCTGTTTGAGATCTGGAAGCCCAAGAGCCAGAGCAGTGCTGGCACACACAGACTCAGCAGTGCTATTTTAAAGGCAGATGTTGACCACAGTGCTTCTTGAGCTACAGGCCTACAATTTAGGTTTGTCCCTTCCCAAATTGCTCTTCAGAGCTACAGAATACACCCATTTTGATCCCCACAATTCCTGTATTTATCCCTCTGTGTAAGGAAAGGACCAAGCTGACAGTGAAGGCAGAGGAACAATCTTGTTCTAAAAGGCCACGTGGAAAGCGATAGGGCTCATTTTGGGGGGCTGAGACTCCCACAAAGCAGAGCCCCATCCTTGGGAGGGCAGAACAGCCACAGAATGTGCACAGGAACTGAGGGTTCCAGGATGTGCAGTGTTACCTGGAAACAGATTAAGTCTTCAGTGCTCAGGACAGACTGGGTGCAAACCTTCCTTAAAGAAAGGAGAGGCATTTGGGAAAAGCAAAACTACATTTGTTTTCCCCTATGGTCCTTGTCAGCAGCGAGGAAAAGGAGTGGCTGAGGCAGGGCAATCCTTACACTTCCTACATGTGGCACATGCAAGGGGCCCCTGGCAGGGTGAGATGCCATCCACTTTTGAACTCCACATTTACAAACACACCCTCGTGACTTACCAGTTCCCAGCTGCTTCTGCACTAATATGAAGTGAGCTCAGTTCCCTGCAGGGACTAGAACTGTATAAATAAGGTCTAAAGCCATGCCCTGCACTCCTGGATGCCGTGCCCTGCTACCTTATGGTGCAGGGAGACCACACTCACCTGGTACTTATTGTTTTGGTGCTGACTCAGCAATTGGTTTCTGCACTCCGAAGGCAGTGATAAAAATGTTCACAACTACGATAATGAACACTAGTCCAGTTGCAAGGTTGTTGAGGAAATCCAGCTTTCCGTGTTTCGCAGGGTTGTTAAGGTCATATTTTACTTCAAAGAGAGAGGAGAGAAAAAAAAAATGTTTAGTGAGATGAATATTTCAAAATCCAGAATAAAAGTCTTCATACTGGTGCAGTTCAAGGATTTCTCCTACGCTGGGCTATTTGCATCAGTCATATTTAAAAGGGAAGTCAGATATTCTGCAGTGTCAGTAAAAGTGCTAAGGGGAAGGTCTGCAACCACAAGGAGCCTATTAACTTCCAGTAATTAGCATCTAATCTCTGTGGAGGCACATGGGAAGTAATGGATGCACTAACATTACTAGGAACCTTCTGAGCTCTTGATCCTTTGAAGCCTAGCTTTGTTGCAGACTTTGAGCATTTAAAAATTATTTCAGTCTTGAATACATGAAGTTTTGAAGCCCTGACAGGATGAAGTTAAATTTCCTGCCACTAAAATGCTACAAATCTCTTTACCACTGCTGGTTTGTCTTTTTTTTTCCTGTGCTGGTGCCCTTCCCCAGCTTGTACTCCCTGCTTTTGCCCTGGCTCTGTTTTTAGAAAGCAAGGGCTCTCTATCTGTAAAACAGAGGGAGATAGAGCAGTGTAGCTGCAGCCCTTCCTACAGGGACCATCAGCTGTGTAAACATTTTCCTTTGTTTCTTGCAGTTCCTCTTTGCTTGAACTTCTAATGGGAGTGAGGGAGGATCCCACAAGGGAGATAGCATTAATTTAGTGTAAATTTTGATTCCAGGCCTTGTGAAAACAGACAAATTAGTTACACTGGGCTGATAATAGGCTTGGAACAGGACAGTGAGAAGTCTGGGGTGCTTGCCTGTTGTCTTAGAATCCTTAAGGCTGGAAAAGACCTCCAAGATCATCAAGTCCAAACTTTGCCCAAACAGCACCGTGGCCACTAAACCACCACATGAACACCCAAGATCTTCCAGTGTCTCTGTTCCCTCACATTAAGGGCTCTGCAGCTCAGACCCTCAGCTGCACTTCTTTGATGCTGGTGGAATGAAGTGAAGAGGAATCCTGGAGGAAGTTTTGAGAATGGGTTTTGCATAAGGCCACTTGTGTCTGTGAGAGGAAGTTCATACCTGACAAGTTTTTGCAGCAACACAAATAAAACTTAAGAGCTCCTTCTGACAGGCACATGCACAGATGTGCAGGTTATACTGCAAATAACTTTGTTATTTGTGTGTGACACAACCATCCTGCCAACACTGCAGAGCATTCATCATGCAAGTTAAAAGAAACCATGCTGAAAGGCAAGCTGACGCTTTCAGAGCTGTCCCTTTGTCCAAAGGAGGGTCAGAGAAGACAAGGAATGCTTGTCAGTTTAGGAAGAGCTCTAAATCTTGAAGTAGAATTGCAGTAATCCTGTCTTCGTAATTACAGTGCTTAAGATGAGGGTGTTTGTGAAAATGTTCTTAAGAACAGTTATTCTTTAAGTATTTTATTATAGTGGGATTAGATTACTATGATTCCGTGCCACTGAAACTATTTCAAGACATTCTTTGCTTTTCTTCCAAAAAGTTAAGATCACCAAATCACTTTCAAGGACAAGTCTGCTGAACATTTCCCACATTGTTTTTGTAAAAGGCTCTTTTGAAGGAGGAAAAGCTTTTAATCCCCAGTAGAAACTGTGAGAACTGGTGGCTCCCAGGATAAAACCCTGTCTCAAAGGGAAGAAACTGGATGGTGGCACAGACTTCTGTTCGGAGATTGCAGAGGCAGAATTTCGTGGCTGGGCAGAAAGGCAAACTGTTCCTGCAGGCCCAAACTCCCAAATATACATTGGGAAAAGCAAGTTCTCCCTCTGATGCCTGTATCTTTGTACCTTCACGTCCTATTTCCTCTCTTCCTATCTTCTTCCTATCCTCTGACCTCAGCAGGACAGCAGAGTTCCAAGTGTGCCACCCTAAGCCGAGGGCTTTGTCACTCTCGATGTGACAAAGAGAAAATTGACGGCATTTAAGCCATTCTGGCAATGTCTTGCAGGAGCAAGCGTTAAAAAGCGATAGCTCAGCATATATTGAGAAATTATTGCCCAACAAAAAGAGAGGGAACTTGTTTACAGCCTCAAAGCCTGCTGGAAACAACCACCAGGGAGATGCCTTCAACTGAGGAACAGGCATGTATTTTGCTAGTTTTTCCATGACTCTCCTCCCACCTCGCCCAGGTTGTTTTTTTCCAGCCCCTTTCTGGAATCTCCTCTGAGCCAAGACCTGAGTTTTGCCCTTGCCCCA